ACCAGTATAGATACTACCGTCACGACAAGTTTCACTGCTAAATTAGGGACGGCTAGCGCAGATAGCCCTCGTGTAACTTTGCGCGAAATTCAAACAAACAATCATTTTGTTAAAAAAAAAAAAACACCTTGAATATACTTTCTAAACTAGTTTATACTTCAGTCAGTATCACTAATAAATGTTTATTGTCTTATAGGTGTAAGGTGTGATCAAGTGGTTAGAGTGCTGAACTTCATGTCGAAGGTTCAAGATGTGATTCTACTGCACGTTCAGCTGTGGGTTATTTATAAAAGTGATAACCATTTCCCTTATTCGCTTCAAAGCGCTACACAAAATTATCGTGGTGGCGAGTGCCGCCGGTTGGATTTCCTTCCTCTGGTCAAAATTAGGGACAGTCATACTTGAGCTGCAGTGGTCTCTGACCTGGCCATTTAGCCCACGTACACAGAAGATTGCCGTTCAGGCTGAAATTTCCAATTCGTAATACTATAGGTAGTAATACTAGCATGTAGCAAGGTGATTAAAGCTACACGAAGTATTTATTGGAAACAAATCAAATTACGATTACTTCCTTACTCACGAAACTCTAAATTCTCCTAAAGAACAAAACAGCTAGCGTCTAGATTAACAGATATGATCAGATGGCACCCGTTATTGCTGGTGGGTTTCGCAGTAAGGAAGCAGAAAAAACAAACAAAAAACTCGTGGCAAAAGGTGCATCCATTTTGGAATTTCGGGAAGCTTTGGCCAGAAGACGACAGATTTGACAACACACACGACATTTAAAAAAAACGTTAAATCGAAATGTTTGTTATAGTTAATTGAGTAGAAAGTTATGTCGCATTAAATCTTCTGCAGTGTCCTTCGTGTATCGCTGATAAGCTTTGGGAAGTTTGAAGGGGAATATCCTTTCTTCGTGGTTGTACAAAATCCGAGATTCACATGGTAGCGCTCTGGAGGTGGACATATTTATATGCCACGAGAACAAAGAGTAAATAACGTTGTTGCAAGTTCTAGATGAATTATCTTATAGAGATTTTAGTACGGTAATCATTCAATCAACACTAGCCTTTACGAAGCTGTTACAAATTTTTATTAATGGGGTACTGTGTGTAATGATCTATTGAGTTGAAGATGTCCTCTTAACTGCATTTCAAAATTAAGCGCATATGTCATCAGAGTTATGTCGTCTTAAGTACAGGCAGTATCAGAATTCTACCATCTTATATGCAAACAGTATCAGAGTTGTCCCATCTTAAGTACGGATAGTGTTAGAGTTGTTCCATCTTAACCGTAGATATATCGGAGTTGTCCCATCTCGAGACCAAAGATTATCAGATCTTGGATGCATACGTCATAAGATTAGACACAATCATAAGGGCAGACATAATCGGTTTGAGATCTACGGAAATATATATTTCTCTTTCTGACCAGGCGAGTCAACGAGCTGTTAGAATGTCCAATCCTTTGATGTTTGATGGCTCTCGTGGAACCTTGCGTAAGACCCTGTTTGGAGCACCCTGTGACGTCACGCCTCCCTTGTCTCATAGGAAACTACACCAAGATTATTATGGATGCCAAAATATTTCCCCTAGCGAGTAATGGGTAAGTCAGGCACTGAAGCATACAGACAAACAATCAGGAGTTTTCTTGAAAAAAAAAAATTGGAATATTTCATGCCGGAAATTATAGTTTAAAAGTTATAACTCTAGCCTATGCTTGTGCAAGGTAATACTATACCAGAAAGACATAGAACCTGTGTATCTGAATATTATTTTTTATAACTTGATCTTGAAATGTAGAAGAAAAAAAAAGATAAAATATCGTGTTTTTTTGTGATAAATGTAAGTAACAGTTCCTCTAGGTTTAAAAATGCATGGTGTCATTAATTTAAGTTGTAAATATTTACGTATTATGTTTTTTCCAGTTTTCTATTAGTTAATATAGGACAGCTATTATGAACAACGTTTAACTAAGTTGTCATTTGTAAACACTTTTTTTTAATAAAAAATTTCATATTTTGGGGAGTGGGAATATTATTTTCATCCCGAATGTATGTATAAATATATATTCATACGTGTGGCGTAAACCAGGACAAATTATTGTTCTAGCGCTTTTAATAAAACATGCCAAATCACTTACTCGTTCTACAATAAGACTGGATATGGAAAAACCGAAATGTAACTTTTAAACACCTTACATAAGCTGCATGGTATAAACATGCATAGTCTACATGTATATCACTTCAATGAAATAACGTAACATTACTTAATGGTTTTGACATGACACAAATCGTATTAGTAGCGCTGACGTCACGCAACATAGATTAGTGGTCTTGACGTAAACCTTTACTGGTGACCTTTACATGACGTAAGACATACACTGGTGGTATTGACCGGATGTAAGCCTACACTCCGAGGTAAACGTAAGAGAACTGGTCAAATGTATGTAAATAGATTATTTTCATTTTGTTTCCCTGTCACACCGAACATGTTCGCCCATTTCAGCCGTGAGGGCGTTACAATGTGACGGTCAATCCCACTATTCCTTGGTAAAAGAGTTGGCGGTGGGTGGTGATGACTAGCTACTTTCCCTCTAGTCAATAATTTCTCTGGTGCTATTGCAAAAGCGGATAGCTCATCAGAGTCCGGGAAGAATGAAAAAACTCGGCGCCCGAATGTCCAGGCAATTTAATTGCAAAACTTATTCGACTACTTTTGGCGGCTTCTTTTATCTCGCCTAAATGAAGGTGAAGCCAATTAGAAACCTTTAAGCCTTGGTTTTTCTATGAATGGAGGCCGTGGTAGAACGGCAGGTGCAAAGGGTCGGGCTGGAGAGACCAGGTATAGATTTACCAGCCGTATATTATATTTTCTTATTTAATTTCTTTTGTTTACAATTTGTCTTATAAGTACTTACTGGGGCTGAGAATATGTGGAAAAAATAAATAAAGTTTAAACAAGAAGAATTTGAATTTCTGTCGCAACTTATAAAAATATATTAGCTTTAAGCCGTTGGATAAGAAAACAGCAATGGAATTCAAATAATTGCTTCTGGTATTAATGTGAGTCATACAGTAACTCAAGTTTCTTTGTTTGTTTTTTTCTTTATCACTAGTGTCGGAACATTAAAGCATTTTAAGCTTTCCTGAAAATTAAACAATATGCTAATACATGTGATTAAAACGGAAATTGCGTGATTCCAGAATTTGTGAAGTTGGCGGATCTTTCAAAGCATCGTACTTAAGCAACACCAAAGACACGAATAATATATTTGCAAATATATTTTACACCAGTTACTTTCGTAAAATTTTAACAATAAAAAAAGCCTACTACTTTCAACCACTGATCTCTATATATAAAGATCAGTACTTTCAACTGTCAATGTCTAGTTTTGTTCTGCATTCCTGGTTCGCTTGCCGCTTTCCCCCTGCCTGTTGTCAAATTATTATTATTGTTTTTTTAATCTTATGTTGTTTTTTTTTCATATTAAGCCTCCATCGTCACTGTAAAACATGTGCGGGACGAAGAGAATCACATTTCTGAACGCCCCCCGATTACATTCAGCTATGAAATCCTTCCGATGTAGAGCTGAATGGTTCAACTCGAAACAACTGCCATGGTAAACGTAAAAACTTGTAAATTCCGATAACAGCATATTTGAATAACATGCGGAACCAAGTGTTGCAATTTTTATTAAACGTCTGCAGCGCCACCTAAAACCGGCTTCGTGAGACTATAAAGTGCCTTTAATGTTGCGAAGCTGAGTTTATAAACCAGCAACGAATTACAAATAGACGATAATGCTGCAATAGAATTATGTAACAAACGTTACAAATTAAATACATTTGTGGTAGACATCGGTTATGGGAGATCTCTTAATACAATCACACCTTCACAATAGTGGTTTTAAGTACAGTTTCCGAGAAGGTTCCAATTTCTAGCCACTGAGACACAGAGGTCGTACAAAGGAATGACAGCGATGTTAAATTCGTTCAATTAGGCTTATATCTGTAACGCGACTAGTGGACGCTGGTGATCCTTCACGGAAACTGGGGGGGTTAAACCGGCTGATTCTGTTTATAAATATGTACTTTAAGAACTTCGGGTTCAACTTGCAGCACGAATGTAATTCCGCGAGGCATGCGGTGCCTTTGATGTTAACAGCCATAACCGGGTGACGGAAGTGTTAGCGTTTCTGGCCAAGGATTTAGCATAAAAAGACGTTTGGTGGCGCCGTGATCAGAAGTTCCCTCGTAGCACGTGCTCTGCGACAGTTGAAAGGGGAGATTGAAACGTTACTCCAGTATTCACAGCATAGTTTCAGCTTTACCGAGACATCACCTCTGTTAACCAATAGTAATAGACAATATTATAACTCATTTTAATTCTGTTATAGTTGATATCGAAACGCAAATTCTTAAATTATTTTGACCGTTTGGTTTAGCAATGACATTTCTTGGACGGACAATACTGATAATAACCTGGATACCCGTTGCTTTCACGGTCACTGTTACACCTCTTTCTAGGGTAGATAATGGTCAGTTTCAAGGTCCCAGTATTCGCCTGACACGCTGGGCTGAAGCAGCGGTGAATTTTGTTCAGAACCTCAACTGTACAGAGGTTTTCTTGACCAGGGAGCGAGAATGCCGAAAACTAGTCCAAGTTCCGAGGGATCAGATGAACTTGTACGCCGCCGGTCCCATATCCAGAGGTCGGTTGGCTGCCGTCCTTCCCGATGGAGCTCTCAGTCGGTCAGGTGCACATAACGTGGTCTTAGTACTTGACCCTTATCCTCGTGCCAGCTTCGGACATCTTGTAGTAGTTTTCTTTTTGGACACGTTATGGTCAGAGCTTCAGTGCCAGGTAAACGGAGGGTTTTATATCGGTAAGTTAAACTTAAAGTATACGTAAAAATTGCTAGTAAACTTATAAACTATTTACCGGAGGCATTCAGGTTTACAATGTATGTTCACACAATTCAACTGATAATATTACCAGTTAATCTACTTTATTTTCTGAGGCAAAAATGAAAATTTAAAAAATATATTCGTAACTTGCCAAATATAATAAATAAACTCACTAGCTCTGAGGCTATATGGTTTTTAACCCATATATAAAAAAAAAAATATTTACTTTCTAAAACTTCGGTTATGGAATTTCTTTACGTGTGGTTTAAATACTTGTACCATCCTGTGTGTTTTCCAATCCTAAACAGTAATTTCGATTTGCGAAACATGTTATTTATTTTAATATACTCGGAAGATAAATAGTATAGAAAAAAATGAACTATGAATTTCAAAATATTATAATTTATAGTAGAAGTGATAGGGTAATTTAGGTACTAAATTTTTTCCAAACTTGAAACAATCGTAACTAATTTAGTTTTGTCATCAGAAAGAAAAACTAAATTAAAACTTTGGAGTGTCAGGGCTGTATGCTTTTTCGAAGCTTGATATATGAGACAACGAATTATTATGTGATTTTCAAATAAAGTTATTTTGCAGTTTGCAGTAGAGCATTTTCAGAAATAAAATTTATTTTTATGATGGGATATTCTCCAGTTTTGTAAAGATTTCTGTCTATTCGACCGAAATGAAGGTTTCCGTATCTCACGAGCCTTTTTACACCAAAACCTAAAACAGATATATTTTCTTCGACAAGAGAATTCTAAATCTCGTCATTTCTAAAAGTATAACTTTTTAACTGGATTTAAAACATAACATTCGGTGTCATTTTCTTAAATAGTGTTCTTTGTAGTTTCTTACTTTTATCAAAGTTTAGATTAAAAGGTAACTGTTACGAGGAAATACTTCGAAGTCATTTAAAAATAAATCTAAATTGTTCAAAATTTGCATTTGACAGCTTTATTTTGCTTAATTAAAAATGTTATTTCTTTAAAATAACATATACGTTTATCAATTCAAACGACATAAGAACAGAAAATATCAGTAACTCGCAAATTAACTGAAATTTCCGGGAGTATCTAAAATAAAGTAATATACCACTTCAGCTGAGATAAAAATTCAAAATATCATAATATATGTGTAAACAGATTATTCAGTACTGAACACAGTTCCTTTAGGATATCATTATCGTAATATTTGTGATGTACAACTGGTGGCAAACTTTTAAAACGATATTTGAATTGATTTTTTAGGACAAGGTGACTGTCTCTCCTTAGCTCTCAAAAATCGTTGTCATAACCTTTTGGGGCGGAGACCAAGACGAAGGAACCTGGTGCGTCGGTGTGAAATTAACTTTCTTCCATTTGTCCACCTAGCTGACCATCCTCCTCGAGGTCAAGAGGACCAGCTACTCACGTGCTACGACAATATACCAGGTGAATGTTATTAGTCCCGCGAGTTCTCTATGTGCGGGAAGCCTTGTAAAGATGACGTCTGTAATTTAGACACGAAGCGTTGCTTTGTTAACACGCCCTCTCGACTTTGAACTTAAATTCCTCTTTTGTTTCTTTGGTAAACTTTGTTCTTGTAATGAAATACATTAAATTCACATCATGCTTCACATTGCTTATTAAGGTCGAAACTTTTCTCATCTTCCTTTAAATTAATAGCTGTTCTTAAAAGCCGGGAAAAAAAAAACGTTCAATTCTTACGTAAGTAAAAGTTTAAGAATGATTTTATTTTTCTCATCTATTTAGATAGTATTTTTTATTCTGTTCTAGACTTCTTTTTTTATGGCTAGAATCGAAAGAATTATTCGGTTATATCTGTTGGTGTATTCTACAAGTATATTAATAATATTTTAACTATTTCAAATTCCTTCTACTTATAAAACGTAATCATAGACTCATAGTATGAATAAAACGCGTATCTCATTTCTTATTATTGTATCTCAAGTTAAATGGTACCAGTTAACATTGGGAACACTAGAAATACAATATGGAACATCATCTCGAAAAATTCCTAGCAATAACATTTATCGTGTAACGTTTGTTAAAATCTGTGTATTCTCTATAGTCGTAGAACAGTAGTCCATACACGATAGACACCACAGAATGGTATATTCTATGTGAGGGGAGGGGGTTGGCGCTGACAAAATGGCTGTTGTTATTCAAATTAAACAAACCGTACGACATAGTGAACGTAGTTCATTCTTGGGGGCTGTTGTATGTCTTGAGAAAAGCTTCTCAATATGGTATCTTTATTGTACCATTGTATATTGAACCGCGGTAGTAAATAATTGAGTAATTACCATCACCCCCTCCTCCAGGTGTGTGTGGGGGGATATTGCATTTGGATCCGTATGTGTGAATGTCTTCGCGCGTATCTCGAAGAATAATACACCAATTTAGATGGAATTTTTACAGGGGATAGGGTGTCCCCAAATAACGGTCCTCCCCAAATCTGGTCCGGATCCAGGTCCGGATTCTGGATCAATTTGAAACATTTCTGTAATGGATATATAGGGCATTTTTTCATTTGGTTGTTAATAACTGTGTAAATGATCGGATTAGGACCGAATTTCAAGCGCACATTAAAACCAAACATCCAAATATTTGTGGCGGGGCGAGGGTATTTAACCTCTCTGATTGCTCTTGTTTTATACTAGTCACAGGGTATACTTGAAAGTTGATTAGTACAGAATTGAGTGAATTTTCATTAGTCACGGGTAGCTTGTGTTGTGCTCACCCAGCCCGTTTTGTCCGAAATGCTTAACCGAAAAGAAATACATAACATCAATTTGCCTAATAGATCACTGTTTCTGTTGATATTCAATTAGAAAAAGTTAATTTAAAAAAAAAAGTTGTTTGTTTTTTTAGAGAAAAGCCACATTGGGCTATCTGCTTTGTCTTCCGCGGAGAATCGAACCCCGGATTTTAGCGTTGTAAGTCCGTAGACTTACCGGAGGACAAAAAGAAAAGGAGAGGAGTACTATTAATTCACTGTTGTCTCCGTGGGTCACATGTTATTCTCGTAAAAACAAAACTTAAAAAAACTGTTGTCATATGATTGGAAGGTAATAGGCGTAAAACGTATCTCGGATTGTTGTTTTACAACTAGTTAATCCATTGAATTTATATAATTTGTTACTCCATTTTAGGGTTTGCTTCGTGTCCTTCTTTCCGCCCAGAAAATGAGACCACTCAGCTTGCTTGTGACCCGTTGCACGTGAACACACAACGGTGTAGCACGACGCACGAGACAGTACACACCCGCTGCCGAATTTCGGAGATCTGTGATCAAGCTGTGTTACTATCGGGTGGTTGGAATCGTTTGTCCAGTAATCAAGAATCTCTGAATGATCTAAAGTCTGTCTTCCAGATGCTGAGGAACGTTGGCTTCCCAAAGAGAAACATTAAGGTTTTCTTCGCTAACGGAGCCGAGAACTTTCAAGGTAGAAAGAAGCGTGTGTATATATATATATATTACATTTGTATTTTTTTGTTGATAAGCGCAGAGCTACGCAATGATTTATCTGTGCTGTGCCTATTGCAGGTAACAACAAGTAAAAGTATGGAATGGTATATTCTTTCATTGGGGGTGTGTTTGTGGGCCAGACTAGTTTCGGATAATTCCACTCCTCATCAGACATGACCTCCGAATGAAACTTCAGACCAAATCAAGCCTTTATAGTAGTGAGGAATAGAAAATCGAATTGGTGTTTTTAAGTGTTAGGTTTCTTTTTTGCGAGTGTAAATTTATCATTCTATAAGTATTTGAAGAACTTGTAGCATTCCGCCGCAATTTAATTCTTCGTATTGTTAGCCGATACTAGGCAGCTGATACGTAGTTGAACAAAGTAGTACTAAGTACTAAGTTACCTGTTGGGATTAAATTTAGTATATATATAAAGCCACATTCTTAGCATCATAAATTAAGCAATTGCCAACCTTTTATGCTTCTGATATCACCTTTTTATGCTTAGCTTTCAATTGAGATACGAATGATTTCACCTGTGATTTTGTAGGGAAGGTCGAATCTTCACTTTTCATAGCCCCAACGCTAAAAGAGTGTGGGGAATGCCTTCTTTTTAGCCAATAAAGATGTCCAAAAAATTTCAGTTCAAATATAACAAAAAAAAAACCGTGAGGAACGTGTTAAAACCCTTTAGTTTACGTTTTACAATTTCAATTAAAAAGAATTAAAATTTAAGAAAATGGTGCAGGTTTTTATAAATTTTAATCTGATATGCTTTTAACGAGTGCTATTTTAAGTTTAGATAATAATAATAATAAAAAGAACTTTCAAATTTCAGTGCTAGGAGGAGAAAGCCACCCTCTGTACCCATCTGTGTTTAAACTGGCACTGCGATACCACGTGAAGAAACTTTGTGAATCCCCTCACTGTGTAGACACGTTGGTGTTATATCTAAACAGTCCAGCAATGAACGACGGAAGTAGCCTGCTGTGGGACACTGATGGAAATGGACAGGTATAATCTAAATATATATATATATATCTTTGTAAGTTGGTTAGCACACAAGTATTTTGACGAATAAATATATATTTCGCTGTTTATATAGAGGATGATGCAAAACTGACGCACCACCGCCATATTTTTTCAAAGTTTTGTTTTTTTCTATACAACTCGCCCCCCCCCCCCCCAGTAGCACAGCGTTATGTCTGCGGACTTACAACGCTAGAAACCGGGTTTCGATACCCGTGGTTGGCAGAGCACAGATAGCCCATTGTGTAGCTTTGTGCTTAATTCCAAACAAACCTTACAACCAAATCAAAGTCGGTTGCCATATGCTCCTTACTCAATCCAGAATTCCCTCAATCCTTACTCAATCCAGAATTCCCTCACACCAATTCTACGTACTCTTCGTAGTTTAATGATATCAAACCAGTTATTATTGCAAGTGAGACAATTGGTGAAACCCAAAAACTATTTTGAAAATTCATTGTAAGGGCTGGACTTAGAAATGTCATAATGGTGTGCGAATTTTTCATCATTCTTTACATTTTTCAATAATATCAAGACCAATAACAGATGAGTAATCTGCTTAGATAAAATACTTTGAACGTATGCTTTACCACAACTTGACTCCATAATACTGACAAGTATTAGGTCGACTCGGATACCCACTCTGGGTGATACGTTTTGGTGTTGTATTCAGGGTGTTATAATGTTGTAACATGTGTGTTTCCAGGTGGGAGAAGACGAAACATTCACAGTGGGAGAGATAATGGTGGATCTGGAGAACTGTACAGCTCGCCAAGTTTTCATCATTGCTGACCAGAGCTACTCGGGTCAACTGATCAAGTCTTTTAACCGTTCCACGAGACACAATAACGTCCAGGTTTTCACCAGCGGTAAAGAGCGAGAGTATTCTTGGCAAGTAGAATTGACCAAACATTGGGTCAGTTTTGGGCATCAACACTCCTGCGTGAGCCAAGTATACCAAGTGAGTTGAACAGTAGATAAAAACATTTAAATCAAACTGGTTTTAGGATAATCCAACACCAACACATTTTCAAAAACGTCTGGTCAAGCAAACTGATGCTCTGGAAATAACTTTAAATGTTATTTTAATGGCTAGCCACAATAAAATATTGTTCTGCACTGTAATATTTAAAACATTAGTTGTAGGCTTCTGTTTATTGAAGTTTAAGTCATACACGTTTTAAATCTTTTAGTTAGTGCTAGCTAAAAAATATCATCAAGGTAACACTGAATGTGTGTAACTTGGACAGGAAAACTAAAAACGGACCTACTGGCCAGAGTGATCCTTTAGCCAGCCAGCAACTTCCTACCATCCACTCTAAGGGATTGATTGCCACTCTTAGAGTGCAGGGATTTTTTTGTAGTATCGCACGGATACGAACGCGGCCCGCCAGCTTCGAAATCCAGAGTTCTACCACAGGACCATCCCGCGTCCCCTGTAACTTCGACAGAATATTTTGAGAGAGCTCCATCTTATCCTACTTCAAAGAGAACTTTAAAACCGTGAATTAAAACTTTTCGTCTGCAAAATCTAGTATTTTAGAGCAAATACACATCGAGCTACCTGCTGAGGCCACCGCGAGGAATCAAATACTGGATTTTAGCGTTGTAAGTCCTTGGCTTACCGCTTCTCCACCAGTTGACATTTCTGCTATTTACCCCAAGCCAATTCGTGTTAGATATGAAAATATCTGCCACATTTCCCGTGTTTTATACCATTTATTTGTTATTTTCTGTTAAAAAGAAAAATCACCCTTTTCATCAAAAGTGTATCTGTGCCAATTTTTTTTGTTAAATGTTTCAATCTGGGTATATATAATTTAAATCACTTAGTAAGGTATAAGTTAAATTATATTTCAATAATAAATATCATAAGAATTGAAAAATTTGTTTGTAATTAAGCACAAAGCTACACAATGGGCTATCTGGGCTCTGCCCACCACGGGTATCGAAACCCGGATTCTAGCGTTGGAAGTCCGCAGACATACCGCTGTACCACTGGGGGGGGGGGAGTTATTGGAAAAATAAATCACCGAAGAAAAGATTTTCTTCATGGAACTCGGATATTCACACCTTATGAATGACTATATCTACATAGTAATTGTGGTTTCGGGATTACTAGCTTCTCTATAGTAAGCGTTGTTTTCATAGTGATTTGATCTTTACACTTAGTACTGTTTTCATACCGATTTAATCAGTTAAAGTGGTTTTCAAGTGACTGGCTGTTCTGAGGAAGTAAGGCCCGGCATGGCCAGGTGTTAGGGCACTCCACTTGCAATCTGCGGGTTCGAATCCCCGTCACACCAAACATGCTCGCCCTTTCAGCCGTGGGGGCGTTATAATGTGATGGTCAATCCTACTATTCGTTGGTAAAAGAGTAGCCCAAGAGTTGGCGGTGGGTGGTGATGACTAGCTGCCTTCCCTCTGGTCTTACACTGCTAAATTAAGGACGGCTAGCACAGATAGCTCTCGTGTAGCTTTGCGCGAAATTCAAAAAAGCAAACAAACAAACTGAGGAAGTATCGTTTTCATAATGATTTAATCTTTGGAGAAAACGTTGTTTTCATACAAGTTTAATTCTATATATGAAGTGCTCTTTTCATATGTCCCCAGGTGGGACAGCTGTAAGTCTTCGGATTTAAACCCCTAAAATCAGAGGTTCGCTTCCCAACGGTGAACACAACAGATTGTCCGATGTGGTTTTCTTATAAACAAAACACACGCACAGTTGTTTAATTTTTGTACTTAATTTTCAACTGATTAGCTGTTTATAGTAAATATTTTTTCCCATATTTATTTTACCTATACAGTAAACATGTTCCGAGTGATCTTATGTGCATAGTTTATTTTCAGAGTGATTTTACATTAATAGTAAGTGTTTTTTCAAAGCGATTTACCTCAATTAATAAGTGGTTTTCAGAACGATTTTACCTTTATAGTAGAAGATGTTTTAAAAGTGAATTTAACTCTATAGTATTATTTTCAGTTGGTTTCAGAGTCATCTTCTTACTTTCATAACTGAGGATGTGTTAATTTGATTTTATCTTATACTAAGCCTTTCTTTTATAATTCTTAACAAGCACTTTCTTTTTTGTTTACTGTTCATATTTATAGCTTGTGCAAAGGATGGCTTGGTGATTAGTTAGGGCGTTCGGCTCGCAATCTGTGGGTCGCGAGTCCGAATCCTTTCAGCCGCGGGGACGTTATAACGTGCAGACCAATCACACTTTACATTGGTAAAAGAGTAGCCCAAAAGTTCGCGGTGTTGACTAGCTGCCTTCTCTGTAATGTATAACTTCAAAATTAGGGTCGTCTAGCGCAAATAACCCTCGAGTATAGCTTTACGCGAAATTGAGTAAACAAACTTTGCCAAAAAAATTGTAGTTGTTGTTATATAACTAATACGTTAAAGGTGAGCATTTTTGATAAAAAAATATTGCTTGTTTACCTATACAAAGTTTCAGTACACAATACAAGGGATCCGTATTTCTTTAAAAGCAGGTGTTTTCAAACTGTGGGTTGTGGAAGTTTCGAAGATGCAGAAAATCTGTTTTCTTTCTTTGTTTCGTATATCCTCGTAAAGCTGCACAGAGGATATCTGAACTAACCATCCGTAACATATAGCCGATAGTCTAAAAAGAAGATAGCTAGTCAACTATCGTTAACTCTTCGGCTGCTCCAATAGAATAAATGGGTATCTTTGGGGGTGGGGAGTCAAGCTCAGGAGGGCGTCTCCAAATGAAAGTTTCTGAAAAATATTTCTAATTAGGCAGGATTAACATATAGGCGCACATTATGAAGAAAATAAATATTAGTAATCGTTCTAGAGTTAATTAATAACATCGTTATTACTTCCAATACCAAACCCTACGCTACTGCAATTGTTCTTAATGTGTAAATATATCTAGCTTACCGCCATCTGTTGATTGAATTATAAAATTAGTAATTGTTTTATAACGTGTGCAGCTATAATATTTATACATAAAATTCTAGAATTTACAGTTTTATTACATGTCTTTCCACTTACAGGAGTAAAAGATGCTTTTCAGAAATAGTAATCGTTAGAAAAGTACAGCATCACAAGTCCTGAAACAACGATGGGTGGAAAACGTCACAACCGTGGATTATTTTATTTAGACCGAGAGAACCTATTGGAATTTTAAATTTATTAATAACTTCTAACTAAAAAGAGTACTTTTGAACCACTTTTGTCTATTCATCAAGGTAAAACCCTGAAATTTCAATAAATAATAACTTCTAACTAAAAAGAGTACTTTTGAACCACTTTTTGTCTATTCATCAAGGTAAAGCCCTGAAATTTCAATAAATACACTCTGGGTCAAGTATGCAAACGTTAATGATTTTATTACTTTTCCAAAATCGCACTGTTACTGCACACTTTTTTTCTGCAGCAGTGTTTCTCAAAGTGGAAGCCGCCAAAAAATGGGCCGAAAACAAAGATGCTGAATTAATTTTAATTCTAAATAAACAATAAGCCGATAACAATTATGACGAATTAATTAAATGATACAGTATGTTGAAAGGAGATGTTATTGTTTTTACTACGGCACTGTTTTTCAATCACCGTGCTAAAATATGCGGGGTGGGTGGGTTTCATTTTAAAATCATATTTTAAGACTATTTTATTGGTTGAGGGTTCTCAAACTTTTTTATTCACATCAAGGGAACCTCGGACTTAATGAGTTTGGTAACCACTGTTCTACAGGACTTATAAAACATGTTACGCTTGTTTGTATTAGATACCTATCGGTTAGACGCGGAAAACTGTCTAGGAATGTTCTGATAATAAACAGTTAGCATTCTACTTGAGTGAAAACTAAACGAAATCTTACAGTTTTTTGTCTGATTTCGTAGGCAGGTACTTGAGTTTAGTTTAAAGTATTGTTACGTCTCCGTTTGTTAATTAACTTTCCGTAACTTCGTTCCGACGAAACTTTAGCGACACAAGTCCTTCCTTAATAAAACTGGTTTATTCTTTCTGAATATAACTTTACCGATACACTTATTTTCAACAGTCGCTCTTTTACAAACGTTTTAACAACGAACGTTAACTTCAACAATACTTCCTGACTGCAGTTCAATTACTCACTACCTACACACATTGTCACGTCACGTCGTGACCATCTTATATATACCAGACCACCCCCCCAATCTAGTTAATGCTAGAGCACTCCCGAAGGTACGGGATAGTTCTAGAAAGCAGGTGGCGTAACAATAGTCACGTGATCTCGCTGACGCAACAGTATATTAATAAGTTGAAAACATTTATTTAACGACCTTGATCCTGAACATAGCATGTACAAAAGGTGGCCAAGTTACAAAACACGTGTAAGAACAGATATACATTAAATTTGTTTTATCACAACTGAAATGCCGAGTTAGGTTTTGGATGTCTAACTGGGCCTCGTGTTATTTTGAATGCGATGTAAGAGTGCACACGTGTATATAGGTCTTTTGCAGTATCGGAAATACTTATGGAAAGGCACAAGTGATACACACAGAGTAATTAAATGGTTAATTTATCTGTAGTGCAACACACGAAATAAAAGTGAGTACAGTAGTAGTTTGTATTTGCTTCATTATTTTTGGGCTACCATAAGTTTACCAACGTATGATTGTAAAATATTGTTCAAATGTATTGTATCATTCCCCACAATTAAGCCAAGTTGTCTGTCGTTTGTTCTCCACATGTGTGTCTTACTGTTTTTGTATATAACATTTATCAACAATTGGTTAGATTTCTACTGGATTGCTGTACATAGCTAAATCTGGTGTTATTTAACATCACTTTTGATGAATTTAGGCTCTCTAATACGATCGCTTCTATTATCAACAGTGCTAATTTTGTCTCCATACAGCTCTTACTAAAAGGCAAAATTTCCCATCATTCTGTCTTATGTAGCTGTCACGTGGCATTCCTGTGCTGGTAGCCATAATTACATTATCACACTACTGCTAGGAGTATTTGTTTTGTTTCTACTTGGTAGTTATTTAGGTTTGGGGTAAACCTAAGAAGACAACAGGTGGCGCTCAGAAACAAGAGTTTCTCTTCGCTCCAGATAGAAGGCTGCAAGCCCACAATATTTGTATTTTATACACTGTTTTCATAATCATTCCACTACTGTATATATATATATATATACATAAATATTTAAATTAACCACACGGTATTTCATAATGTATCGCATAATGG